TCGTGGAAAACATTGACTTCTGTCAAATTTTGCTTGAGCCAAATATTTTTGGATCATCGTTTTCCCTGGATTACGTCGTACCCGTTTTCGGGTACTTACCAAAGATCGTTCATCTCTTTCGGGTTCATCTTCTGGCTATTTTTCGGTATCTTTTTGTTTTGGAATCCGTTCTGCACCTTGTTTTAACCCGTAAGTGTGTCTGTTGACTGCCCTGCAGGTAACAGCCTGTCGGTTTTACGTTTTGTTACCTGTTTCACACTTTTTGTAAGCTTCATGTCTGATTCAGTGCATACCGGCGCTAATGTGTCTTCGGCTGCGTTGATCGTCGAATCTAACTCCGTATGCGACAGCGTGCGCTGCTCAAAGCCCGTGGCTGACGAATCTGGTGGCATGCAGTGCTATGTATGCAACTTCTGGTCCCATGAGACCTGTACCGATTTGAGCCCTGATCAGTACGCAAGGCTCTCGATTAGCAATCGCATACTGTTCAATTGTCTTCTATGCCGTAGCCGTCGATCTACGCGTCTTCAGGTCACTGAGGAGACATCGAGCAACGTCGGGCTGGTTAACTAGCAATAGTGGTCTTTCCTCACATCTCTTACTCGGAAAGTGGGTTAGTGAGGAGGAAGATGGGAATCTCTATTGCTTTCGGCTCATTGGAAGAAGGCACGCAACTTACCTGCTGTCGATGAAAATCCGACAGTGGTCATAACTGCCGTTTCGTGGGCGGCAGTGGTCAAGAATGCCTCTAAAGGGGCGACTGATGTACTGAAAGCCGCCCAAAGCTTGACCGAAGTTATAGCCCCTGTGCTAAAGAAAAGCGAGAGGAAGACGGCAAGGAAAATCCGTAAGGCTTCCTCAAAGCCAGAAGGTGCTGCACGCATTAATTTATTGGACGTGAAGCCCAAAGCTCCAACTTCAAGCATTCCAGCTCCATTGGCGAAACGACTTGCGGGGTCGACTTCGGCCAGACCAGCAGTCTGAAAAGACTGGACCGAGGAGGACGTTGGAAGTAGCACACAAAGCCATGATCTCAATTACTCCAGCTTCCTTGGCGAAGTACCGCGCCGTTTCATCTGACAAACCGGTAGAAACTGGGGTCGAGTAGAATACTCGTGAAATGCTTCAGCCATTTTGAGGTGATTCTTCTACTGATAACAGCGTTCTCTTCCGTAAGGTTGCAGACTCTGCGGCAGCTCTTCCCTCCAGTGGTTCAAGCCCCGCATCTACAAGACTCTTCCACCAAGTTTTCCCCTTGTCGCTGTCAAGAAGTTAACTAGATTGGGGTACCTCCCTTTCGAGACGCCAACTCCGCGTCCCCGACTACTTCGTGTAGTCATCTTAACTTCGGAGGAACGCAAAGCGTTAATGCGCTTTGCATTCAAAATCAAGGGTAGCAATGTCAGCGTTCAGTCGGACCTCTTATCCGCAAATTGGCTGAAGTTAAAGGAAGTCATCAAAAGCCTCAAAAGTAGGCGGGTTGCTGATGTACAAGGCCTACGTCTTGTGGGTTTTCAGATGGTCTGCCGGAAGTCAAACTCTGCCCCACCAGGCCCCCACTGCGTAGCGTACGACCCGGGGCTGGGCGCGCCGAGTTCCTTCCGGTAGTGCTTAGTAAGTTGCGTAGCCTAAGGAACAAAGTACACCAGGAGGATCTACTTGTAGGCAAATCTCATCCCGACACACTTGCTGTCATCGAAACGTCGCTGTCCCCGCATACCACAGGCGATGAAGTATTTTTACTTGGCTACGCACTGATTAGATACGATCGCTCTGTTGGCCATCAGCTTGGGAGCGTCGCTCTTTATGTAATTTGTACACTTGATGTGGTGAAGACCTGTGTGTTCTAGTCGCCTGATCAAACTGTTAAAAGCGCTGTCGACTATGGTGTGAACTTCCACAGCTTGGTTTACAGTTGTAGTGGTATATCCAAGTCCTAGAAGTACTCAAGGGAAGTTATTGAATTTAATCATACTCAGGCAACCGATCGGTGTCTAATACTGGGTGACTCCAACCTCCCTGAAGTCTGCTGAGCCGATTTACCTCACAGTGCGGCGGTGGGCACTTTCGGCCCGGATCTTCTCGAGGTAACTTTGAAACTGCCTTTGCATCAATTTGTGTACTTCCGATATGGTATAAACACAAGTGAATTCCTTCTACCTTGGGTCCCATTTTTACGAAGTCACACGATTTCCTAAGTGCTATTACCTACGGCTGTCATCTTGGAGCTAGTAAGCATGTCTGCATATCCTTTCCATGAGCGCTTACTAAGTGGCATCAAGGAAATGCTGAGACGACCAAATATTGGTCAGACAGACTTTAACGCAATGCGAGACCGAGATTTTGCGTTGCGCGATCACCGTGGCTGGCACCGTTGAGACAACCTGGGAGAAATTTAAGGCATACCTCAGCGAGATCTCTGCTCCCCACATCCCAATCAATAATAGTCAGGTGACACAGGCGCAACCTTCTTAGATGGGTCATTTGGGTAAATAACTGCTCAGGATGCGCTTTAAATGCTGGCAAACTTACCATGCGGCTTCAACAACTAGCACCTACGAAAGCTACCGAGCGGTTGGAAATAAATGCAAGCAACATCTTAGAACTCTTCGTCTTCAGTACGAGGAGGAATTGGCTAAAGCAGCCTTAATAAACCCAAAGTTCTTTGCTTACGTAAAGAGACGCGGCGGTACAAACTTCTCTGTACCGGCTTTACTACGAGCGGACGGGACCTATGGGCATACCAACTATGATAAGGCATGTATAATTAGCGAACAGTTTACTGGTGTCTTCTCCCGTGAAGCCTCTCCGCCTCAGGTTGGGCTGGGCACAAAAGTCCCATAGGATTCTTACCTAACTGAAACCAGCGTACCGGAGACACAAGTCTCCGAGTTATTGCAAGGGCTAAATCCTTCCAAAGCTTCTGCTGCTGCTTCAATTCATCGGAAGCTGATGCATGAAGTGGCCACTGGGCTAAGTGGCCAACTGACATGCATGTTTACAATAACACTAGATAGCTGTGCGTTACGTCCAGCAGGATAGGAGGTAACTATCTGTCCGCTTTTTAGGGGTGGTGACAGAGCTCTGCCCGCGAACTGCCGGACTGTCAGCATAGAAAGCGTAGTAGTTAAGTTGTCTGAAACGCTGGTCAGGGATTCGGTGGAGAATCACCTGCTTCAACTTAACCTCCGTGCGGCACAGCACGGGTTCAGTCAGTTATTTTCATGTCTGGCAAATTTACTGGCAGCTCGTGAAAGCTGGGCTGAGGCAATAGGCAACGGTCACGCTATCGACGTGTTTTTCGTTGACTTCTCGAAAGCCTTTGTTACTGTTCCACATCAACGACTATCACTAAACTTGAGATCGTATGGGACATCTGGAGCCGCCATTAAACGGGTCTCTGCCTTCCTAGAGAGAAGAGAACAGTCTGTACGCGTGGGGCGTAGCCTTTCGCTTAGACAAGCTGTTCTTAGTGGCGTTCCGCAGGGATCGGTTCTAGGGCCGTTGTTTTCGCAAGTTATGTCAACGACCTACCCCATGAGCTTGAAGTACCATCGCTATTGTTTGTTGATGATCTCAAGCTCTGGAATACGTTGGCTGTCCCTGGTGGCTCTGAGACAATTCAGAGTGCCTTGGATGGGCTCTTGGATTGGTCAAACTTATGATTGATGCCTACAAATCAAGCGAAATCTTCTGTCCTCCGCTTTGGAGGGGCTACTCCTCCCACTCGCTATGTGGTTGGCGGAAGTTAACTCCCCGTTTTCACTCAGCAGGTTGATCTAGGGATCACCAAAGCCTCATTGCCTCACTCTGGGAAAATTGGAAGAAGGCTGCTTGTAGAGGGTTCCATAGATGTGGTTTATTCGCCGCTCCTTCGGTGTCCTAACGTCCAATATTTTTGTGAAGCTGTTCTCAACTTTTGTGCCATCCCAATTAGAGTACTGTATCCACGCTGGTTCACCTTGTCTTGTAAGGGACAAAATGGAACTGGAGAGGGTTTTGCGAGTGGGTACAAGATTAGTGCGAGGATTACGGGGGGCAAACGTATCCCGAACGTTTGCTAAGTTTGCGTATGTACGCAATGTACTACCGCAGCATTAAAGGAGACTTGATCCTCACTTACCGTAACCCGTCTGATCGGTCCAGACTTGTTCTGGCTATTTAGACCCGCCAAGCTGCCTAGTCGTCGAGGTCACCCGTTGAAGCTGCACCAACTGCGTTCTGACCGGGTAAGGACGGAAACTCGCTGGTCGTCCCGAGTTATTTAACGTGGGAATCACTTCCGCAGCACGTCTTTAGGGAGTCTACGGTAGAGGGTCAGTTCGATGCGCTTGGGTGGCAGTACCAAACCTTTACCTTTTCCTAACCGACTAATATCTTAACTTTCCCTCCGCTTTTAATGTCTTCTCACACATTGGTATAATCATTAGTTAGCTGCTACTCCCCTTTTATCTAAGGTAACTTTACACTTTTAATTCACACAAACCGGCCTGGCAAAGCCTGTTGGGGCAGGCAAATGTGGGCAGTAATTGGTTAGACAGGATGTGATGCGGTCTATGTTTTAGGCTTTTCATCATCTTAAGCAGTCCTATCAATTCCTGATCCGATGGTACGCAAAAAAGGAACATTCACGGGATTATCCTATCGTTTCGGTCCCAACTGAAGTTAAACTTGACTTCATTGCATTATCCTTGGGATTGTGCGACTGCGGTTAGTGCCTTTGTAAAGAGGGATCGAAACTAGTTCGGCGCGTGGTTGAATTTAAATCGTTGCTCTGACGACAACTTTTCTGTCTGCATTTCAGAAAGACACTCCTGCGCCATTATTGAAGAAGGACAGAAACCTGAAGCGAACAGTTGACTGTAACTTTTCTCTCATCCCTTCCTACGTTACTGATTCTTTCTTATAGAGCCTACGTGTTGCGTAATAGAACTTACGTCTCAATCCTTGTGGTTCTCCCTTGTCTGCATTCTACACCTTCCAGTTTTCTGCTTTTTTGGATGCCTCAAGGGACAGTGGAAGTTTGTGCTCTTTACGACTACTCTCCCTCTCACACAGATGAGGTTTGTTTAACCATGTTTTGAGTAATTATGTCACTAACTTGATCACAGCTGTCCTTCAAGAAAGGTGATATTCTTACTGTCCTGCGTCTCTTGGACGGAGGCTGGTGGGAAGGCTCTTTAAATGGCATGGTTGGATGGTTTCCAAGTAACTACGTCACTCTCGTCCCCGACGCAGCTAAAAAGCCTGAAGTGCCAAATTGCAACGAACCCATTCTGCTGCATCTGCAGAGTTTTCAGGATGAAGTAAAACGCGATTTTCACGGATTTTTTAAATCGCACCGGTCCTTAGATCGTGCAGCACATACTAGAAGGAGAAATTCGACATATAAATGAGTTGACTAATTTGGTTCATACGTTTCTCGTAAACTTGGAACCATTGGATAATTTGTGAGTGATTATGCCGCCGTTCATTTTGAATCAGGCCATTTCTTGACAAAGTACTTCCGCTTAAGGACTTGCTCATCCGATCGATAACTATGCACCAAGAAATAGCCAGCTCACTGGACCGAATGAAACAGTTCGTCTGTGTTATTCTAGGCATTTTGTCAGTTCCAGCGAAACCAAGCGAGTAGGCAAGTTGTTCCTTGATTTTGCGCCTACTATGAACTCCATTGGGTGCGATTACTCGAAGGTTCACCTTTACGTTTTGACCGGAATGGCTAAGGAGTCGTAAGTCGTTTTCCTATTCCTGGGTTTCTGGGCACTACTACTTACTATACAATGGCATTCACATTAGCTATTTTTCACTACTTTTAAATGTTGTGCATGTTGTATTCCCTGCACATCCACATCGCTTTGCTTTCAATGGATAAATGGTTTCTAGCTCGACGACAGCCCTAACTTCTTCATTTGCACAACTTTTCTTCTTTGTTCCTCCCTAGTGAAGCGATCGCACGTCATTTTTCCTCCGTTGGGATGCGTTTTCAGATGGATCGCTGTAGTCAACAGCTTTGCCTGATTTTCGATCGCTTGGGCCGCTATCCACTACTTCTAAAAGAAGTGGAACGTTACTTAGAGGTGATCTTCCCGTATAAACTTCATAGCACATTTATCCGCTATACTCGCATTGTTTCATTGACTGCTCTGCTATCTTTCGCAACACTCCATTTTTTTTAGATACTATGCGATGTGATTATTTTGCGGCGCACAGCCCTAGGCCTGCTACAGTGTCTTGTTGGTTTCGTGCCTCATACTGTTGCTCACTGGATTGTTATCCTGTCCATTACTGCTTGTTTTCGTTCGAACGCCGCTCATATTACCCGCTTGGCCCGATGTGAATAATTAGCGTATCCGCACATGTGCGGATGCCTTTTATTTTATTACTTCGCTTCTTTTTATCTTCGCCAATCTAGTGTTAAGCTTTCACGCATTCTTTCTGCGGCGATCATTGGCTTACCAGATCATATTTAACACTACCCGTGAGAATGGTCTGTTCGATGCGAGTCCTTACCAGAGGATTCGTAGGAGTAGTTTTTGCTTACTGACATTCGTGCTGTCAATCAATCATCAACAGCAGTACACCAGCCATTTGAACTGGTGCTTCGCTGCCTACAACCCTGAGGACCTATGAAATAAAGAATAAGAAGAGGGAGAGAAGGGGGGCTTACCTGAAAATCTTGATGCCATAAGCCAACATTCAGGGTCAAGGCGCCTTCGCCTTGTGTAGACAACATACCGTCACACACAGCTGGCTATCGTTCAAAGACAAAGCTGTGAGTCCCTTTGTCCCACCCCATCCCTTAGCTTCCTCCTCCAACCATGATCTTACTTCGTATCCTAATATAATTTTGCATAGTAACTCTTTTTGCTGCATAGTCGCCGGCTGGTAGCTTTCCTGAACAATGTCCATGCGTTACTTATAGCTCAGCTGGCATGCGTCTGTTGCATTCCCCCTTTTTTAAGTATTGCGACACAGTAGCTGAGGTGTTTCTTACCCCTAGCTAACGTGTATAATGATGATTTTTCCATGTAACACGGATGTCAGCTGAAAATTGGTAAGCCTTGTGCTAACAACTTATTTTTCCCTAGCAAAAGTATCTATATAAGATGCTGTTGGATTTTTATACTACTGGTATATTAAGCATCGCACGAAGAATGACGGAACATTCTGGCAGTGACACCAACGAATGAGAATGTTCGCACTTCAACTTGTATGGGGCGAGTGGAAACCCATCATCATATGGATGCTTTGGTTTGCGACCTAAATAAATCATTGAATTACCGAATAGCCTATTTCGGTCGCATACCATGGCATCCATGTGAGGAGGAGTTTCCACTAGCCCGATGGAAGGGCGAGAATTACCCTATGTTGGTGTCACCGCCGCCATATTTTTTGACGACCCATCGTAGTTGTGTTTCTCGACATTAAAGATGTCTTCGGTTCGGTGGATCGATATGCTCTTTGGTATTGTCTGCTAACGAAAGGTGTGCCCAATAAATACGCAGAAATTGTCAGCGCGCTGTACACGCGTAGTACGGTCAGAGTGAGTTTATTAGCAATCTGTTACCCATGCCAGTTTAACGACTCCCGCGGCGAGTTGTTTGTGTGCCCGAGATCTGAATGGAAGAGAAAGCTGGAGGCCAAAAGAAGACGTGATCGAGGGGAATGAAGACCCTCAATTAAAAGTTGGCGCCGCTTGGTGCATCCCTACTGCCGAACTGGGTTCCCAAAGACGATGTACACGTTTGATTGGGGACACTTGCTGATATGGCGAAGATCCGGCCACGATGGTGTTTGCTTTGAGAGTTTCTTTCTCCATCCTCATCTTCTTTGGATTCTCCTTCCAATTGCAATCTCACAACATGAATAAAATGATATTTAACTTTATATTACTTGCTTTTTGAATTTTTTACAGTAATCTTTATATGGCCCTTCAGCTGAAGTGTGTTTCTCATCCTCAGCTAACGTATATTGCTGATGACCTGTTGGATTTTTCAGGTGCCTTCAAAATCACTCATACCATAGTAGTTATTTGTCAGATGTCAGATCATCTCCATCTAGGTTTCCTCGTCGCAGGCTGTACAGAGATCGAAGATCTTTTGCTATTATAGGCTCGGCTGAGTCGACTCGGTACTTGTCGTCGTCTCGGATGCCGAGTTAGGATCAGTCGCACCAGTGATTGGATGCTTTATCAGTTGTGGTATGGTCACAACCTCAGTGGCACTGTTGCATTCGCTCTTTTACTCCTAACTGCTTTTATTCCGTACTCATTCATCATGCATTATCATCATTACCGTTATTACTATAAATATCATTATTGTTCTGTTGGCCACGTTTAATTTGGCAATCCATCCCACCTCGATGCACAAATCGTACTTGAAGATTGAATCAACTGAAACATCACCATCATCATCAACAGCGGTACATCAGCCATTTGAACTGCTGTTTCGCTGCCATACAACCATGAGCACCTATGAAATAAAGAATAAGAAGAGGGAGAGAAGGGGGACTTATCTGAAAACTTTAATGCCCTAAGCATACATTCAGGGTCAAGGCGCCTACACCTTGGTTATACAACATACCGTCACAAACAGCTGGCTATCGTGCAAAGATAAGGCGGCATCGGCGAGACAGCTTCCTTGCGGCTTCCACTGCCACGTGTCATAATCAGCCATTACCCCGCAGATAACTCAGCACCAAACACATTTTAAACAGGCAATCCAATTAGGAGACGGAAGCAGACGCGCCACTGGTGTCTACTGCGAGCCATGTCCTGTAAAGTCTCGAGCCAAGCTTAAGGCGAGTCACGTGGACTCCAGCCTCGGAGGCGAGACGGACCAACGGCACCCAGTTTGGTCGTCAGTAACTTCATTTCCCGTTGCCAAGTCAACTTCTGTCCACCTCGAGCCTTGCGCCACCCTACACCTGGCAGACTAAACAAGGCCCTTCTACGTAAGCGGAGACCAGGCATACGTAACACATGCCCAAACCAACGCAACTTATTCAGTGTTATCTGTTGTTCTAGGGAGCTAGCATGTTTATCATTACCTAGTACTCGCCTACGCACATCATCTTTGCGGACACGCCATTCACATCCGACACCAGTAATGCTTCGCAGACAACGATGATCAAAGACTTGAAGGCGCCTCAGATCTTCAGACCGAAGGGGCCAAGTCTCACTACCATAGACCAGAACCGCCCACACCGTGGCCTTGTATACACGGTCTTTTAGACGGAGGGAAAGTTTCTTCTGTCGCCAAAGATGCCGCAGATTCAAGAAGGCAGTTCTGGCTTTTGCAATGCGTGAGCTGACGTCAGTTTCTATGCACCCATCGTTGTTGATGCAGCTGCCAAGATAAGTGAATTGCTCAATCACCACGAGTTCCTTGTTAGCAAGGGTCAAGGGGCCATCAAGTGGCTGGTGGTCCTGCAGCAACACTTTGCACTTTGAAGGTGCGAAGTGCATACCAAACAATGGGACCACCATGAACAGGCTATTCAGGGTTGATTGTGCCGCGCAAACATCGTCGAAAAACAACACGATATCGTCCGCATAATTTAGATCAACTAACCTATCACCAGGCAGCACTTCAACGCCTACATCATGAGATTTCGCAAAGGAACACCCCATGATAGGATCCACGACGAAATTGAACAAGATGGCGAAATCGGACAACCCTGACGAACTCCTTTTGTGGTCGGAAAGCTATCCGATAGGCCACCGTAGACCCTGACGCGGCCTGTAGTGCTCGAGTATAGAGCATGAAGGATGTGCACGTATTTCGTGGGAACACCTTTCCGCGCAAGTATTTCGAACTGAATCGATCGATCGACTGAATCGAACACGCTCTTGAAATCGAGGAACACAGCTATAGTCGATCTGCGGTATGTGTGGCGCTGCTCTAGCACCTGCCGCAGGGTGAATATATGGTCTATACAGCCACGTCCTGGGCGGAAACCGGCCTGCTCTTCCATAATCCGAAAATCCCGTTCCACAGTGATACAACGAACGAGAATCGAGGCCAGTCATTTTGTCACAACTGGCGTTAGGCCAATACCCCTGTGCTGAGAACAGTCTGTGCGACTGCCCTTCTTGTATATTGCCACTATAATCGAATCGCTTCAATCAACCGGGTCACTCTCTTCCTTCCAGATACATTCGAATAAGATCAGTGCTTTGCACAGGACCTCACGTCCATCCATAAATAGTGAAGGTGGGAGGGAATCCGGGCCAGCGGCACGAAAACGGTTGAGCGCTGTGATCGCGTTTCAGACCTCGGCCTCCGACGGAGGCTCTAAACTAACCGTCCATGGCTCGTCCTGCAACACCTGCGTAGGAAGAGATCCGGGAGCACGTTTAAAGGTATCTACAAATCTTTCGGCTTGCCCATTCGATTGTGGATGGTACGGCGGCGAAAACTTGTGCTGGATTCCGTTTTGCCTGCAAAATGCTCTGAACAGCGTTGAGGTGAACTGGGCTCCGTTGTCTGTAACCAGCATCTCCGGGGTGCCAAAATACTGGAACAGTTTGTCCAGCTCATTGATAGTGTGCTGGGCAGTAGGATTTTGCATCGGAATCATGTCGGGCCATTTCGTGTAGGAATCAACAAAAATCAAATAAGATTGACCGTTGATTGGTGCCGCATAATTTAACTGGATTCTCTGCCGGGGCTTTTCCGATTCGGGCCAAGGGTGCCACGAACATCTCGGAGGTGCCTTTGCCGCTTGTTGACAAGATTCACAACTTTGGCAGAACTGCTCAATTTCCGCATCCACTTGAGGCCAATACACAAAACTACGCGCCAGTGCCTTCATTCGGCTGGTTCCCGGATGTCCTGAATGAAACTGCTGTAGTATTCGCTCCCGCAACTTCCTTGGTACCACGTCTCGGTCTCCAAACATTAGACAATTGTCAACGACCGAAAGGGATCCGCGACGATTAAAGAAAGGTTGTAACTCATTCGAATTTCTGACATTAGGCCAACTGGACTGCACAAACCCTATCACTTTCAGCAAGATATCGTCTCGAGCCATCTCTGCACGAATCGTATCCGACGTTACTGGCAACTCCCTTACACTGTCAACCAGGATGCGCTGAACTTCCGACTCGAATTTGACAGATGCAATCACGCAGTCATCGTTTTCCTTCAAGTGGGAACCGAGGAGGCGAGATAGAGCGTCAGGTTGGCCGAGTTGTTGTGTAGCTCGATATTGTATACTGAAATCGTAAGCCAGCAGTACGATTGCCCATCTCTGTAAGCGACTTGATGTGAAAACAGGAATACCTTTCTTTGATCCAAATATCGAGAGTAGAGGTTTGTGGTCCGTGATCAGTTTGAAATGTCTACCATATAGCATCTTATGAAACCGTTTCACTGCGAAAACAATCGCCAGCGCTTCCTTCTCAATCTGGCTGTAATTTTTCTCCGCCACTGTCAGCGACCGTGCTGCGTGCGCAATGGCCTTCTCTTCTCCTCCGGGGAACACATGAAAAATGACAGCACCTACTCCATAATTGGAGGCGTCCGAAGCAACAACAATCTCCAAGTTTGGGTTGAAGTGGGTTAAAAGTAAATCAGAACTGAGCGCTGTTTTAACTGCATCAAAGGATTGTTGGCACTCCTTTGTCCATCGCCATTCTTTCCCTTTCATCAGCAACTGGTTCAGAAGACCGTCACATATATTGGCGGCCCACCGTTGTCGTGTTCCTCGATATCAAAGGTGCATTCGATTCGGTGGATAGACATGCACTTTGGGACTGTCTACTCAGGAAAGGTGTACCTGAGAAATATGTGAATATTATCCGAGCATTATACGCTCGTAGCTCGGGCAGAGTGAGGGCTTACGGCAAGTTGTCGTCGCCCTTAAATATCTCCAGTGGCGGGAGACAAGGATGCCCGCTGTCACCTTTCCTCTTCAACTTCGCTGTTGACGAAGTCATGGAAATCGCGTTCACCGGACACGACATGGAAGGTGTGGAGCTACTCCCAGGAGAACGACTTCTTGATTTAGAGTATGCTGATGATATTGTCCTCATCTGTGACAGCTCACAAACGTGCCAAACGGCACTGGACAGATTAGCACTAGCTGTCCGTCACTTCGGGCTTTGCTTCGCACCCTCGAAGTGCAAAGCGTTTCTCCAAGATTGGCCTGGACCGCCTCCTACGCTGACCCTTGGTGGGGATCAGCTAGAAGTCGTTCAAAAATTCAACTACCTGGGAAGTTGTATCAGCGCCTGTGGGATTGAAGATGAGATTACGAATCGTATAGGAAAAGCTAGGGACGCTTTTGCTAACCTTCGCCACTTATGGCACCGGCGCGATATCACTCTTGCCCTGAAGGGTAGAGTGTACAATGCAGCAGTACGTTCGACCCTAATGTACGGTTGTGAAACCTGGCCGCTTAAAGCAGCGGACCTGAAGAGGCTAGTTACGTTCGACCACCGATGCCTTCGTAATTTAGCTCACGTTTGGTGGGAACACCGCGTGAGTAACGAGCGTGTTCGACGCCTTGTTTATGGCACAGGAAAAGGAACTGAACCGCTCAGCACCGTTATTTCACGCATCAGGCTCCGATGGCTCGGCCACGCGTTACGCATGCCAGCCCACCGACTTCCGCGACGTGTGTTGTTTGCGCGCCGGGGGTGTGGATGGAAGAAGAGGAGGGGTGGCCAAGCGATGACTTGGTCCAAAGGAATGAAGACCCTCACTTCGAAGCTGGCCTCGGTTGGAGCGTCTCGGCTCCCTGGTTGGGGTCCGAAAGACGATGAACACGTTTGGTTGGACACACTTGCTGATATGGCTAGGAGCCGACCTTAGTGGCGTTCGTGCTGTGAGTTTCTTTGTCCCACCCCATCCCTCTTAGCCTCCCCCTCCAACCACGATCTCATTACTTAGCCTTATATAATATTGCATAGTAATTTTTTTGAAAATACACAGTAGCTGGCTGGTAGCTTACCGGAATGATGCCCATCCGTTACCGGTAACTCAGCCGGCTTGCACCAGTTGCATTCGTTTTTTCTCCTTTTTCTGTGTATTGCGGCACCGTAGCTGAGGTGTTCCCCACCTCTAGAGTTGCAATTTATGCATTTTTCACTTTAATCTGGACTGCACATCGATTATGTTCCACTGCTGTGGTCACTATTTTGCACTAACAATTGCGTTTCTGCTCTACTGTGGCCATTCTGCGCTAACGGTTTATCTATACAGAAGACTGCACTTTGTATATCTTGTGTCCTTTGCCCGTTTTACAGAACCCTCACGTTGACCGAGATGACATCCAGAAGGCAATGAATGTTTATAGTGAAATAGCGGTGAGTGCCGCCAAATCTGTTCCTTACTTCAGTTGTCTTTTATAAACGTATCCTTTTCGTTTAATTCATCCACTCTGTTCTAATTCGCTTGTTTTCGTTAGTTGCTTGTACCTGAAGCGTTTTTCACTGTATGCATTTTAACTTTTCCTTGGTGGCTCCCTCGGACGGAGGGACTCTATTCCACGATGCTAGTTGTACTTTCCCTTTGAGGTCACTTAAGTGACACACAAATGCTATTTATAGTTACTGCTTGATTTATCTCGACGAATGTTTGCAGCAGGCGTATATAAGTGTAGTAACACCGATCACCAGGCACTCCAGCATGTGTTTGACGCCATAACTGTGAAGATATCAAATCGGAGATTCACCACATTTCACTGTCACTTGACAGACATTCGGATTAGTTGACCTACTCGCTTATCACCTCTATCAGTCGACCCACTGTTTATTATTATGGTCCATGTTATCCACTGGATCCTCATTGACCTGTGAGGACAGCGATATCTTCCTCTGCTGATCGAACTCATAGCATTAGGCGTTACGGTGGGTCTAGTGTTACCTTATGGTTCAATTCACTGTCCTCGCCTTGTTAAGGGCCACATTATTAATCTTGTAAACACGGCTCTTATTTGATTGGAGCACAGCACACCATACCATTCGCATACGGATTATCTGACCTGATTTGCTATGTGTTGTTCGCCAGTTGAGTGAGACCCCAAAGGAGTTGATCGATGGCGTACCGATAAGTCATACGAAACTCATTTGTCTTCTAAAGACTCTAGCCAATAATTTCCAAGTCTCAGATTCGAACTGCAGTTTTGCCTCTCTCTCTCTCTCTCTCTCTCCATCTGACGGGTGCAAGCGCGTACGTAATCTGCCTTGGATTGGGCAATGTTCAGAACGGTCAGCAGCTGACACTTGCCCATGACGTAACTGCTTTAAAGATTTAGGCTGAATGGAGCCATTTAACCGGCCACATCAACCGTATGGGATATTGTACAAGCGCGAAGCCTGCATTTGTGTCCTTGTTTTTGGATCCCAAGTCAACTATGCCATGATTGTTGTCTTCTAGCCGCTCCTTTTATGCACATTCCCATTTTCTCCTTTTTCTCTTCTGTATAATGTAGTGAGGTGGGCCCGTTACTTTTTCATTGGGGAATTATAGATTTTTGTCATCTACTTCTCGCCTCCATCTTTCCATATTTTGTTCCTCTTCAATATTGTAACTCGTTATGCTTCTGACACGGGTTTTAGTGACTGGGCACATGACACCTCCATCCTTCAATCATTGTTGCTTCCCAGAATCGTCATTGTTGTTCATTTTCGAACACTTCATACACGTGGATTCCCGAAATTTTTGACTGAGTTGTGGAAATTTGTTAATTCAATTGCCTGTTCACTGCCTCCATAGCCAGCTGATCTCTTCTTTCCTATTACCACTCAGGAACGCTGTGCAATTCTGCGAAAATTCAAAGAATACGACATTGAAATTTTGCTATCTGTGATCAATGGATGGCAAGGGCCTGTGAGTTATCCCACCTTTTTCATGTGAACTACTTTCGTCCTCATTCAAATTTTCGTTGCTCGTTACTCGATGCGTAACGTTTGTTCACCGGTGATTGGACACGAATCTGACCAATATTTCGGCTTTGCAATTTTTTTACTTTAGTGAGTTCAACTTACGCTGTTTACAAAGTGACCGAGCAGCGACTTTACCCTGGCTCAAGTATCTATGTGCCTCATGAAAGACCGGTATAGCAGACAAGCTCGGTTCTGTTTATTCATCGACAGACCAAACACGACACTTTTCTACTCCTCACATACTGTAGGATTGACTAAGGAATTAGAAAATTAAGCTGTCAAATTAGTTGTTGGGCGTGATATGTCCACGCGGAAGCTGTATGAATGACCTCTACCTATTGCAGGTCCAAAACCCTAACGAATGATTTGTGCTCACACAACAAGGTTGTTGGGGCAGTTTACCATCTCCTCCGCCAGTGCGAGTTTATGGTATCTGATCTGTTTATGAGCGGACTTCACTCACACGGTACATCGAGTGACGGGCTTTCAGGATAGCAACCGGATGATTCTCATTTGGAGCAGGTGCGCGACAATTGCAGTGATGCACGCCTTTTCCCATCTGGATTTATGCACGCTAGGTGGTGCTTGTGGACACATGCAGTTAAACGTATTGTGATACCGATGTCAGTTGCCCCACTGGAACTTGATATTCACAGAAAGTGATGACATCCACAAACAATTTATACCTCAGTTGTATCGGCAGAATGGGCATGGTAGTGAAGCACTTGCGCACCATTGCAGCACGCGTATTAAGGCATCGGTTATTCTCCTACCGTATGTGTAACTCACGGTTTTCTGGTCCTGTGCTCTTAGGGTTAAAGTTCTCTCTGTTCCCTAAATAAGCCAATCTTCTAAGCATGTTGAAACGTACATACTCCCCCAGAACTGTATAGATATTTTAGTTGTTAGACAGAATGGATGGAATAGCAGTCTCTAGCCAGAACTTACACTTCAAGGCAGTACAGCCAATTATGCAGTGTTAATCGAGCGTCTGCAGTCTTTAAATTGTGCCTCATCTGTCCTACTAACAGTAGCGGACTGCATACATGCCATCTGCATACCCTGACGCAGGATGGCTTCTGCCTCTGTTCTCACTCATCCTGAGGTACTCACACGGTGCTATGCTTACAAACAGCTTATCAGCTGTCATTGAGCCACGCGTACAAACCGATCCCGAATAGTTCAAAAGACAAGGTGGATCCAATGTATACGGTAATATTTACATAACATTAATTACCTAATGCAACGCAGTTCTTGGTTAGCAACAAACGCGTTAGAGAATCGCTCAACAAGTGGGTATCGTTGTCCGTTTGTCAATCATTAAAAGTGCATATGAACAGTTGGATAAGGCTGTTGAACTGTTCGCTGAGCTTGGCAATTTTGTTGCAAACGTTTCGTCACCAATCGAGGTGACATCAGTGCGTAGTTGAGTAACGTGCAATAGCGTAGAGTAGCGTGAAAGGGCAGATCTAAACAGACAGCCCACGGTGCAAGGCGATCAGTAGCCGACAACGAAGTTGGTAATTCTGATTGCTTAAATTGCTCTCAACGGGGTAAACCCAACGCTCCAAACGTTTTGACGGGTTGTGGATAGATTGTCCATCTTCGTCGCGTATAGTTTCGCTAACATCAGGCCTCCTGCATCCTGTTTCCATTATGAGACGCAGTTAATTGCGATGGTTACCAAGGACAATCGATTTTATTTTTGACGCGCAATTAGACTAGCAGGTTTGCTCGAAATACAAGGTCATCCTGGAGATTAACAGTGACCACCCCTTGCGCCGATCCTCATTAGTGACTAGTTAAACGTCATGCCATGTGTTACACTTCCTCAGACACTGACTCCCACAATATGCGTTTACTGGCCGAAGAGCCGCCATTTTTTTCGGTTCATGTTGTGACTTTCTCCGTGACCCTCCTGATTAGCCTTGTCTACATCTCCACGTCTACATTCGCCACGTACACAGTGATTTCTCGTTTTATTTTACCTTTACTGTTGGTCCTCCGACTAACATCTAACTGGTTTATATTGCGGCACGACATCTGAGGTGTTTCCCTGCTTAATGTATCATACCAATTGATGAACGATATTGCCACGTCGTCCCATCTTTGCTCTTTTGTTGGGACTAGTTTGATGTGCCTCTCTCAGCACAGCCTGCGTCTTGCTCTTTGCGCCAGTCCCTTTCTTCGTCTAATCAGATACATTTTCGATGAATTGGATACTTCACTTGGTAACCGCTTGAATTAGCAATGTTGGTCACTTGCCTCTTTTTAAGATCCGTCGTTTCGCATTCTACCATCTCTTTGCTGCACTGCGGTTTTCTGTAAACTTGTCGATAACATTGATTTGCCAGCTTATTTTTGCGTCCAGTGAAATCCTTTGACTTTGTTATAAGGTTAGGCATCTACCATTTTATCCGGTCATCGGTTCGAATCCGCGCGTAGAGGCGGGTAACCTCGCGGTACACCTAACCCACGCGCGACTAGTGGTAGTCGCGTGGCAGCGTAGCGTTGGCCCGATGTACTGCTGATGCTTATTTTAATCTGCTTTTGTTGCTTAGCCGAATAGACTTTCTTCATGTGACCAGATCACTAGTATTGCAAACAAATGGTGATATTGATGCATAACCGTACGGTTTCATAGTGGAATTCAGTGTGCACCCATCTGTGTTCTGTTTCGCCCTCTTTGCTGCTCTTCACCAAGTTGGCCAACATTTCCCATCTTTTACACCTACTCTTCATGGTTGAATCTCCATCATCTGGTAAAGGTTTGTTATTTCAGCGGTTAGACAACTCTTGCACTTGACTAATCTTAGTCGCTTTTTCTTCCGTTGCTAATTGCTCGATATTTGTGCGCCTGGCTTTTGTTGTAAGGTCCTTTTTTGGCCCTTAGCTGAAGTTATAGTTTTGCTGTCCCCACAGTGTTATCACATCGCTCATTTCTTGCCGAGAGCTGTTTCGAACACAAGTTGTGAGTTCTACTTTCTATTCCAATAGAGCAAGTTTGCGCGTTTTTTACCCTGCAATTTCTTGTGATCGTAAGTGATGTGGCACCTTCTAGTGTGGCCCTTAGATTTATATGTAACTGGGATCCAACGCAGTATGTGTGCGCTTGGTTCGATGTAAACTGCTTCTGAGTGCATTCATTATTTCTTTTCCCATACTCTAGAGCATTGCGCACTTGGGCGATCCCATTCTGACTCTTCGTGTAGTCTTGACACGCGTCGAGGACAGTCCTGACCATCCTTTACCTAATGTGCCTACTTCTCAGCCGATACCCAACGGTCGGCGCTCTGTGTTGGTTATCTTTCCTACTTGTGTTCTTCTACTTGCGCGTACAGCGCAACCGAATACATATGAGTTTATGGTAAGTCCATGGGCTTTTTCGTCGTAAAATTAATATTGTCAGACAAAACTCACCTTAAACCGGCTGACTGTGCTAAGAAGCATGGACAAGGAGACGGATATCAATCTGATCACAGCCTGTAAGTAGTTTCTCATACTCTTGTGCTTCTGCGGGACCCACAGTGTCATAGTAAACGGTCTTATTTACCCCATTCCCCAGCATCTTCGATGAATTCGAGGGACTCTGTTCGGCATTGCCGCTTCTCTCTCACATGTACGGATCAGAATGCCCGGGATCTTTTATTTTCCACCTTGACCGACTTGATTCATTATCAGACGCTCGTGGAACAGCCATCCGACGGTCGTGGTGTTCGTTCCAGCGTTCCAGCCTTATCCGACTTGACTGATGGCTGTCCCAGCTCCCAACAAAAGGATAATAAATCAGCAGGCCCGTCGGACGCGTGTTGCGATTCCACGAACTCCGATGAAACCCAGGTTCGTTTCCAAATCACTGAAATGAATATAATCACGTCATTCTAGATATTTCGTTTTGGTCTATTTACTTAAAGCTGGACTACCTTCTTTTCAGACCTGTATGTTTGAGCTACTCGGCATTCGACACACTGCTTGATATAGTTTTTCACATATTTTATTGACGCGGTTTCCTTAATTTCACACGTTGTTCTTACTTACGGCCATCTTTTTGTGTGTGGTACCATCCAAGTTACCTCCAGCAGCCGCAAAGGATTTTGCCACGGAATCAGATGCTCCTAGAAGCAGTCTTCTTCCTACGCTACTGTCAGGTTGATGGGTTATTTTTCACAATTTCCACTTTTTTGCGGTCAAATTATGGTAGGCGATGACGCAAATATCAGCTTTTAGGTCACATGCCATCTCTGAGTTTCATCCAGAGTGTTGTACCATTGGGAATGGACTAAAACAGAATCATGTTCACTCATGTCACCTGAATGGAGCTGTCCATTGCCCTCCCCAATAGCTGCAATATTTTCACTTCACTTTGTCTCATCTTCCTGTTTCAACAGAACGCTCCTCTCACTGCACCACGCAAAAGCACTAGCCCGCAAACATCGTCTGTCTCCCATTCTGGTTCTAATCCGCACTCCAGTCTAAACGGTGGTACTCCAGCCTCAATCACAGGTTTTGTACCACCCATGGAAGCAACTACCGCTGCACCCCCCACATCGGATGTCCTATCGTCTTCAACTCAACACGCCAATGCCCCATCCACAAAGACGGACTGTTCGCTAAGTTGCCGGCCGCTTCCTCCTCAACTTCATACGGAACTACATTTTCTTCCCCACCAACTCACAACGCATGCTCACGTTCAGTCCTTAGGTACGTCATTCTGCACCTTGTAATAACATTTTGCCTCCGCTTCACATTATTTTACTCTCTTGGTATCTTTCGTTGGATTATCATGGTACAACTGCGACATGATCATTTGTGTTGTTTACTCCAATTGCCATTTGGAATATGCTGCTTCGCGGAACGCCTGTCTACCATCTACTCTCTGACGTCACTCCGGTATGTAACTTGACAGTCGCTCTTGAACATCGGGCAGAAGAAAATGCACGGCCCCTACCACCTGGTGCTCTGCGGTGTCTTCGTCTAGATGGCCCATTACCCATGCTGCGGAGTAACTGGCCTCAACGCGTCCACTCATCTTACCTGCATCCCAGTGGTCCTTCTCCTTTCGTGCCGGGTACCCAGAAAAGTGACGTCGAGATTCACCGTGCTGGCCGCCCACGGAGCCCGAAAGAAGACGCCATGAAGGATCATCGTCGGAAAAAATCAGGTTTGTCTGCTTCGTACTACCCACCAGTCTACTGCTTCGACTCCTCAACTGTCTACTTAGCTTGTTAATCAACTAAAGATCTCTTAAGGGAATACCACCACTGGATTGAAGCAATTTAATCTACTCCACGGCTGTACTCGAACATAGATAGGATGGTAGGTAGAATTAATGTTCAAGCGATTATCATAAGCTTTCATTAAATAGAAAACTCATGGAGTCGCGCATACTGTCGTCACCTTAATTCAGGCAGGCTGTTATCCCGTGTTCAGGGTAGAATTGCCTTTTTTATCTGGTCATAGTTCGTAGTCAGCAAGTATGATGAAGGGAAAACCAAAAATAAACATGTTGGAGCTGTTGATTGACAGCGAACTATTGGTATGGGTTACCAGTGTACCGCTGATGCCTGTTTCCGGCCAGCGGCTGATCGATTCAGGCGTCCGGTTTGTACTCCATTGGCCACCGGTTCGATGCGGACGAATTCGCATTAGTCATATTCCGCACCGGCTGGGGGCTCACAAGGCGACGAATCATCAGTAAGCTGTGGCGACGTGCTGCGTATACCTTTCTGTTGCTCTTTGATACCTACATCCGATCTTCACAACCACTAAATTTTTCTCTGTGGACGAAACAGCCGATAAAGGATGCTCATTTCGACGAAACGCTAATGCGAGTAGTCAACGTCCATCGCTTGCGGTGCAGATGATATGTACCGGTTTTCTTACAAGCCTAACTACCTCACACTAGATGCGGTATGCTATTTTGTACATTATGAAACATTTGCACTGATGCAAATTGCAGATCAATGCGCCGGCTCCTGTTTCTTCACTATTCAAATGCTTTTGGAGTTCGTTAACACATCAGTTCTACTCAACCAACAGCCCACGAGTGATGTTTACAGCTTGATTAGCAACCACTATATAAACGGCACACAACTTAATGAAACAAAGTCCTCTACACTTTGCTCAAATTATGGTGCGATTCTTCTCCACTGTTTTCTTTGTATATTGAGAAACTTCCTATACCGTCCAACTTTCTCGTGTGCAAGTATGCAGATCATGTCGTTATCGGACGTCGAGCTTCCACACATTGAGATATTGACTCTTCAGAATGCTCTAGATAAGTTTGTGCTGGGGTCTTCGTCCTGATCTTCCATTCGGAACATTTCTAGATGTAACCTACTAATAAGCTACAAACTGTTTCGAATGCCACTTCATTGGCAGTAAGTGATCAACTCATACCCAAGACGTCAGCCATAACTTATCTGGGGGTCCTTATCTCCCGTAACCCATCTTTGTCAACTCACGTCACTGAAACTCATTCGGTATATTGTGATTTGATTTAAATTTTTGACTACATGCATTCTGCCTCACTGGCTATACTGTACTGCAGTACTTTTTCCGGGGGTTATTCAGAAAACACTACACATTATTTATACGGTCGTTAAAACGTAATTTCGATGCAGTGGATCGTCTGGACAGGCTCTCGTTTATTTTATTGTCACTGAACACGCAAACGTTTGTAGCAGTTTTTCCTTTAATCTTCTCAACGACCCTTTCTACCAGTTACATAGTTATCTATCAAAAATCTTGTCTGCTCACACCTTAATTATAGCCTTATTTTCTCGTCCTGCATCTTCCACAACTCTATCCTATCGCATTTGTCACGATCACTTGTTGACCCAACGAAACTCCTCAATATGACGCGCGACTGTTTGCTTGAGTGATATGCCTACAGATTTTACCTTACATTTTATTTGTTTTTTATCCATTTGTTTCGTGTATTTCTTCGTTCGCATTGATGGTCTATAACGCTGAAAATGTACCTACCCGAGTGCTCAAAGCCTATTTTGACTTTAACCGTATCTGCTCAACGCTATTAAGGACGCTGATAAGGTACCCTCAAATTGATGACTGTCGACTGTCGTCCCCACCTTCAAAAAGCTTCACGGAATTTTCGCTAAATTCATCGAGGTGTTCTTTCCATTGCATCTAAACTTCCTACGGTATTCATTCTGGTCTTTGCGATAGCCGAATCATTCAATGATAGGCTGGCTTCCGCTCTGGTCGTGGTTGAATCTACCATACAACGCCCATAGACGACAGACTATTGTGTTTTTCTTGACTTGAAAGCCGTTTTCGACTCTCTTGATCATGTCAGCTTGTTGCACTACCTATCCATTGGACGCGTATCAGCTAAACTCCTTTCCGTCCTGAACTCTTTCTACCTTGACTCCCGAGGCCGAATAAGAGTCTACAAGTTGTTTCTTGACTCCCCCCCCCACAAGCAGGGTTGTCCCATATTTCTTTTCCTCTTAAACTTTGTGATCGAATTCATCATGAATGACTGTTATTTCAGACCTTTCCGGACTGCAAGTTCTAGGTTACCTTCTGACTAACCTTGAGTAAGCACTTGGAGTATTTCTCCTCAGTTTCGACACTGACGTCAGCAGTACACCGGTACGCAGTACCGACGCTTCGCTGCCGCGCAACCACCACCAGTCGCACGTGGGCTAAGGATACTGCGATGGTCGCTGGGTCCCTACACAGGCTCGAACTCGCGCCTTCGGATTACATGACAGGATTGTGATCCTTAAGGCTACGGACCGTCGTGACATTTTAGAGGCTCAAACAGCAATAGAGGCGGCGGCATATCAGTCAGGCTGGACCCTGCCGTGGTGCGGTGGTTTGCGTACTTCAGAGATCCACTGAGCTATGCTGTGTGGTGCATTTTTGCACCTTCAGAGCCACTCATACTGGATCTGTCAATGGTTAGAGGCCAGACAAACTCAATCTTCTGGTCCTCCAGGTTGAGGGTTGGAATGAGGATGGCTCCTTACTCCTTAAAACGGACTCCTTCTAGCCCAACGCTAATCCCGCTGTCTTGCGATCAGGTTTTTGAACCAAAGGCTTTGGTTGAGAACCCTAATCGTTCTCCTGTCTAGGCCTGGGCAACTGACAGCATTCTGCCCACCCAACCCTATGAATCTTTCCTCAAACAACTTCCTGGGGCTCTGGCCACCGCAGCGGATAATCAACTGTGTCCTATCTGCTACATCGAGCAGGACGGATAGGGATTTGGATGCTACTACACAAGCCTTCCCATTGTCTTATTCCTCCCTCGTACGCTTTTTCACCCTTATGGTCCCGTCCCAGCTTCACTTGTATCCCCCCTGTTTTCAAACCCAATTATTGGTCCGCCCCAACCTTGCTTTGATAGGCTTTTACCTACTAGATTCAACTCACGTGTGAACGCGGAACGTCATTCCTGTCCTGCCGACAAGCCCATGTCCAAGTAAGCTGCCAAGCCAAGTCCATCGGCTTTCACTTTGAACCCTCGATCATCCTTCAGGTTAATATGCCTCAACGTACGCACATTGTTACAGATCGGTCAACAGCAGGACTCGTCTGAACATTAGAGATCCTCTCGGTCGATATCTGCTGCTTACCGGGCAGCGGTCTGTAAGACTTGAGCTTTGTGCTCACTCTACGATCCCCTTGTGATGATCTTAGCAACACTTTCTCATTGTGCCTATCCGGTGCCGATGGAGTTTCGAGCACCGGCCAAACCGGGGTTGGTATTACCCTGAGTCCACGGGTTCAAGCTGCTCTGGTTGATTGAATCCCAATCAGTAGCCGGATGTGTGCGGTCCGATTGGCTGGGTCGTTCAAAGCTTCGAAGTCGAGCGGGACTAACAGGTGTTTATACGTCATCGCTGACTATGCACCCACAAACTATAGCGATGGTTCGGTAAAAGACGGCTTCTACCGCCAACTGAACGAGCTCCTTCGCCACAGAAGAACCTCGGACACTGTTGTGCTGGCTGGGGATCTGAAAGCCCAGCTTGGAAAATTATTCAATGATGAACTGCATCTGGGCGGCCAACATGGTGTAGGTTCTCGTAATGATAACAGTGAGCGGTTAATTCATTTGTGTGAAAATGCTCGCTCGTTTTTTGCGAGCACTAATTTCCGACGCAGCACCAGTCGGAAGGTGACTTGAGGCCCCCCAGCCTCGAACCAGCTATGGACACAAATCGGTCACATTGCGATAACTTACCGATGGAAAGGCTGCGTTCCGAACTGTCGCTCGATTTAGAGCACAAGTGTGGACATCAACCATACAATTGTATGTGCTGACCTGCGGATTCGTTTTGGCAGACGCCGAAATCGATGTTGTGAGCGCATTGACACCAGCCGACTGACGAATCCAGATGTTCTGAATGCCTGTCAAAGTACGCTGACATGCGAGTTGAGTAAGCGCTCACTGGAGACTATTGATGGTCACTGGTCATACGTTCACCGGACCTTACTAACACCAGGCAAATGCACATGTGTAAGTCTAATAGCCAACATGGATATTGGGTCTCTTCGCAGTCTCTGGAACTTATCGACGCAGCAGTTAAACAGTGGTCACTGACAGAGAGCAGAGAGAAAGAAGAAGGGTTACAACAGTTCTATGTATTCCCTGTTTACAAGCCGATGCAGAAGTTGTCGGATACATACAACTCATTTATCATTATTTGTATTTCGCCACAGTCTTTACTTCTTTTTACCACTATTGACTACGACTGGGGGGGATCTCCTATGATGATGGAATGAAGCTTCCGGATTAGTTAATACAAACAAGTGTGGCGAATTGTCATAGATCTACTGATGAGAAAAAATACGCTTACTCAATGCAAATCGGTACACACTTGTCGAGTGGAAAAGGTGTCAGATTTGAAAGAGTCGGAAGCCGAAATGAGCTGATTGGCCTAAAAGAGTATTTAAAAATGAAAAACAAGAGCTTACTTATCTTTGCGAATCTAGTACTCACTATAGATAAGAACGGCCGTATAAATGAGCTAGTATGGTGATGGCTTGCTAAATGTTCTGCCACGCTAACAAGGAGCCAACTGGGACGTGGAAGTGCGGATGAAACCTTTCGTGGGAATACCCCGCATGTAAGCAGGTCCCCAAGAGTCGGTTCTACAGATAGCCGTATTAATCCTATTGTGTTTTTTGTAACAACCACTTTCATCCTACTTTTAAACTATAACCCTTTTTACCATATCTACCAATTGACCTCA